CACCGCTGGGTGCTGTCCGCATTCCCCCGCCGCATCACGGTGAGTTCTCTGTTGCCGGCTCACATCAACCGAGGTTCCAGATGGGTGCGAGGAGGTATGGGTGGGAAGGAGTAGGGGATCGGGGATTGAGGTGCCAAAGGCCCCCACCCCAGAGGTGGGGAGGGGGCAGATTTGTGCTGTTTGCTCTTCTTCTGGACATGCCCTGTCATCTGTCTGTCCCTCTCTTGCTCTCCTGCCACCGGGAGGTGTGAGTTTTGGGGAGTGGAAAGCTCCAGTTGTATGCTTGATGCCACCTTGAGGGTGCGTGGTTGTAAAGGATATGCAGGAGACAATGGGTGGTAGGGCAGAAAATCCTGCCCTCCCCCAGAAGGGAGAAGAGGTTCAAAAAAATTTGTGGTTAAAAAAAAAAGTCGAACACTACCCGCTCTCATGTTAACCCGACCAAGTCTTCCGGAGTTTCCCTGGCGCCCGCGCAGACCCTAACACTAGCTGTCTCTGCCTCTGTCTGTCTCTTCAAGGAGTCATCGCTCCCGGACGGGCACATGCTCCCTTCTCAGCGCTTGAAGGATAAGGGAGTCTGGAGGAAAAGGGCGAGGAAGGGAAGGAGGCAGCGGGCAGGGAGTGGAGGAAGAGAAGGTAGAAGGGTATTTACGTCTTGCATGAACTTGCGGCAGACTGGACGGATCTCTTTGCTCAAGGTAGCACTGAACATCATGACCTGCTTCTCATGGGGGGTCATGCGAAAAATTTCCTGGACATCCCGACGCATGTCTATAAAAGAAATTACAGGAGAAATGATGCATATGTGATTAAGAACAGAGGCAGGCTTCCCAAATGAAGTGGAAACTAATGGAAATGGACAAGCAAGGGAGTCATTTCATGGAAAGATTTGCCTCTGGTCTCTCTGCTCTATTTTCTCCAACCACTATAAAATCAAAACCATAATAATATAATGGAAAGAATGACGAATTTCAAATGAAGATCTGGGATCAGGTTCCAGTTGTGTTTTAACTGGACAAGGAACAAGATCATGTAACTCCACCAAGTCTTTAACAATAAAATGGAGACAAAACCCCTTTCAGAGGTTCACAAGGATGAAGCATTTTTTAAGGCCCTTTTCCCAACTCATCACTCCCCAAGTCCCAGTCTATAGCAGTCAACAAATATTGAAGACCTATTCCATTCCAGAGTCCATTTTACATCTCCTCTAAATCATACTTTCCCATCTAGTCAGGGAGATATAACATCTCTACCTAGAGCCTACCTGACAGCTTGCCATCTTGTATAACCAAAGACCGTTTGGGGTGACTTCTTCCTTGGGCTATGTCCATCCCCATGCTCCCATTCTCCAAAATTCAGTCCTTATATAAAGTTTCCCGTTATTAACCTCCCTTAACACGCTGGAATACCACATAATACAAACATTCTCCACACTAATCCTAGAACTTTTAGAGATCTATTCAGCTACAAATTCTGACCATACATGCTGTATTGGGACTGCCAGATGGCAGACTGTCTCCTTAACGTCTTCCTTATAACACCCACTATGGGAATCTATCAAAGAAAGGATGGTGGTGAGGATTTCTAAGATTAGCAAAGTCCCCTACTCTCAAAACCAAAGAAACAGATATCTGTCATAGAAAGAACATGACACCTTTCTCCCCTGATCACCATGGTTGCTTAAAAGGGTAACAAAGACTGACTTAAGCTCCCTAACCCTTGCCACCAATCAGGGAGCCCAGAGCCATCAGTCATGGGTGATAGATTAAGAGTCGTCCTTGCACTGAAGTGCTCCTGTATCAAACAAACATCATTTGGCTCCAAAGGGCAATTTCCCAGATTACTATCCCAGTGTTAGCATTCCACTCACCGAGTTGTTCAAGCATCTTATCACACTCATCCAAGATAAAGTGTTTAATATGTTTGAGGTTGAGGCTCTTATTTCGAGCCAGGGCCAGGATGCGGCCAGGGGTCCCCACGACGATATGCGGGCAATTCTTCTTCAGCACCTCTTCATCCTTCTTGATAGACAGACCACCAAAAAAAACTGCAACCTGCCAACCGAGGAGAGAAAAGAAAGTGAGTCTCACAAGGAAGGAAAGATTCCAGTCTCTCCAGTTTCATTCTTTAAGCTTAATCTAAACCAATTCTTAAAACATTTCAGAGCTAAGAGACTTTGTTGCTGTGTGTCAGCAAGTCGATTCCAACTCACAGCAACCCAGTGTGTCAGTGAAGAATTGCCCCAAAGCGTTTACTAAGCTGTAATCTTTACAGGAGCAAAATGCCAGGTCTTTCCTCCCATGGAGCAGCTGGTGGGTTTGAAATGTCAACCTGTTAGCAGCCAAGTGCTTAACTACTATGCCACCAAGACTTCTTACAAAATAGATTTTAGAAGTCATCTAATCGAAAATTTGTATGTCCCCCAAACATTGAGGCTCAGAAACAAGTGACTTGCACAAAGCTGCATGCCTAATTGACTTAATCTAACAATCTTCCTTCAGGTGACTGTAAGGCCAAGCTTCACTATAACAATGAGGATAAAGGAGTGTCAAGTACCACAAAAAGCACACAGAACATCATTTTCCTAACTGAACCTAAGTTTTTAAACTCCTTAACGTGAAATTACTGATTCAGGCTAAACTCATCACTCCACATTAAAACCATTAGGTAAACGGTTGTTGAAGATCTGGGCATCAGTACAGTGCTGAGTAACACCAGTAACTGCTTTCTAGTTTCAAGGGGGAAAAGAACAATGGCAGGATCAGACTGTTATAATGCTAATTCTGTGGTAATTCTTAAAATCACTAATTGTGCATCAGCTAGGTATGTGATAAAATAGGAAGTATATAGTATCATCTATGAAAAATTCTCACTTAAAATGTTTAACTTAAATTAAGTTTTCAGATATAAACCCCAGTTACAGGAAACACTAAGAAAGAATAAGCTGAACACAAGGAAATAACCCAACAAATCCAGAGGTGGGACAATGGCCCAATCTCTCAACAAGTCATCAGAGCATTCATTTTAAGCAATAATTAAAAAAGAGAGTAAGAAAAGACAATTCGTAACTGATCTTTACAGTACAAATGTTTCAAGTGGCAGGAGGGTAATAAATTGGACCTATAGGAGAGGAAGTATAATCCTAGCTCACTACTGGGCTCAACAATGTTTCCATAGTCGTAACAATGTAAACTGCCCTTCCTCATTTTCAACTTTTAAAATCAACCCACAGACCAGGCTATTTGGTGGAAGGACAGAAAATGTAAATATCACTGACTCTGGTACCGTGCATACAAATACATCTGGCATGCATGTCACATTTAAAGGACTAAAATTAACATAATTTCAAAAAACTAGGAAAAAGAATAGTGTAAGTGAGGTAAATAACCTTTCCTAAAATGAACTAAAAAAAGGTCTATAATTTGATAAATCAAGAAAACAGTGCCTTTCTGTCAAGGGTGATAAAAAAAATTCGGAAAAGGATAGTGATGATGGCTGCACAACAAAGTAAACATAATTAATGTCACTTAATCGTACACAAAAAAAACGTTGAAATGGTAAATACTGTTACATATACTTTCACAGTTAAAAAAAAAAAAAAAGTGCCTATTACTTGGTTACACAGAACCACCAGAACTAAAAAAATTAGTTAACAAGTGATTACCTTCTATGAAGGATTGGAAATGGGAATACTAAATCTTTTCATTACAAGGCCTTGTGGATTATTTCGGTGTTTTTACCGTACAGATACTACTTTGATTTTTAAGAAATTACTTTTAGTTTAGAACTATGATCAAACATTCCTAATTCCTTTAAAACATAAATGAATAATGGAACGAATTATAATAACCTGAACAAAAGTATTGTTTGTCACCTCATGTTAGCCAGTAAGATAAAAAAACTATTATATACCTCACTTCTCAAATTCCTGTGGATCTCTTTAAAATGAATGTTCATATTCAGTAGGTCTGGGGTGGGGCCCATATAATCTGCATTTCCAACAAGTTTCCAGACGATGCTGAAGCTATAGGTCTGGGAACCACACTTTATCAGTTATATAATGAAAAACAGCACAAGCCAACTCTGTGGTGGCCCCTAGACATCTTTCCATCTTTTGCCATCTTAATTCTCAAAATTCACACACGATACTAAAGCTGTTGAGTGCTTCCAGCCTTGCCCTGCCACACAACCTAAAACTCTAAAACTGTCAGCCAAAGGACCAAGAAATGATTCAAAATTGGCATACAGTTGTAACAAAAGGGTGGTCTTGTGGTAAGCACCATCCATAGCCCAATCATCATGGACTCCCCTGCTATGCAGACACATTTACCCTATGTGTTAAAAACCGCAACAAACTAAAGCTTCTCCAAAATTAGATACAGCAAGCATCTATGAAATTACACTGCACATCCAAATGAGCCCTAGACTTTAATAAAATCTCTTATACACCCAAAGTTTGCAGGAACTTACTGTTAACGTACCATTTTTCGCAAATAATGTGCCCACATAAATAACATGCCCATACGTATAACGCGCAGCATAGCTCACTTACAAAAATAGCGAGGGGGGTTGCGCAGTTGACAAAAATGTTTAACACATGCATTATTTGCATTAAAATATGGTACACTGAGGCTCATGTATAGATATTTGACACCTGTGGATGTGAAGACTGCCAATCTGCAAGTCTCTTATCTCCAACTCCCCACGCTCTCACCCTCCCACACTTCTTCACCCTGGCTTACCTTGACATTGGGCATGTATTTAGAGAAGCGTTCATACTCTTTGCTAATCTGAAAAGCCAACTCCCGAGTGTGACACATCACCAACACAGACACCTTAGGGGAGAAGCAGATACAGACATACAGTATACCCTTTCACTATCACTCTCCCCTCTGGGGAAATGAAAAAGCACACCTGGTAGATCATAACTTCAAATCTGAGCCGTAAATCATTAACCCCACCCCTCCACCTCAACAAGGCTTATTACAGTACTCCCCCACAACCAACAGTCAAGAGTGATAGAGGTCATCTTAGCAACAAACGCTCATGGCTCTGAAAGCATCATGTAGCTGGGACAGTAACACCCTTCCTAATTATCCCTAACTAAACCACCTTCCCCAGAACTAGCCCCTCCCCACCCCCCTGC